CTTCATATGTCCAGAAAACTTGAAGATGGGCAATATTCTACATACTATGGCCGATTGTTTTCTATCGCATTATTCTATTGCAAAGTTGTGGGGTTCATACTGGAGTGGCATAGGGTGCAATACTTTCATCTTCACTGCCTTGCAAACTTCTGATAAACTTAATATATCACCTAATAAGTATGTAAGGTATACGAAAATCGCAACAATCTTTAATATATGAAGGCATGCATTTAACATAACATAACAAAAAACTTTAATTAGTCAAACGCTTGAGTAATGATTTGAACTTTAATAAAAAAAAACGCTAATTATATGGAAGTAAAATTAATATTTTCTTTTTTATAAAATTTTTTAAACAAATTAGATTTTAATTGGTAAGTGGTTGGTAGTAATAACCGGTGTTAATAATGATATATATATATATTTTTTATATATATGTATTTTAAGGAAATAAATTTTTTCGCTTCAGTAAATCTCGTAAAAAATTTTATAGTTTTGTAGTCTAGTGTAAATGAAAAAAATTTCTCTTTGTTGTGATGCGAACGGCACTCACCTGGTTTTCCAGATGCATTTCATTAAACATAAAATTTTCACTTAAAATTTTGTTGCATATGCATATAAACTATCAAACAATATCTAAAAAACTTTCACTTTTTATTGTAATTTATTTAAATTTAGTTGAAAAAAATTATTAGTTGCCAATGAACATAACTACATTTTCCGACACTGAACTACTAAACATAATTTATTTCCTTTATTTGAACATCATTTTCATTGTTATTTTTTTGCTATTTTCCCTGTAATCAACAACAATAACAACAATTGTAAACTATTTAATTGCTTTAAATTATCAAAGAATTGTGATTAATCTTAGATTGCACACTAATTCAATCTATTTTTAATATATTTTTTTTAAATTTTTTTATTAATTTGCCCAACAACAATTACAGGAACACAACACTTCGCCTCTGCTGTTCTATACAAAATGAGACGAACATTTCACAAGCACGCAAAAGAAACTCAACTGACAACTATTAATCACAAAACCAAAAAAAAAAACAAAAAACTATTTATGCTCTCATTTGAAAATAATAAAAATTCTTTAAAATGATTTCAGGATATTATTTCGCAGAATTTTAATAATTTTTATTTATTTTATTTAAATATATTTTCAAGTTTATTCATACTTATTATTAAGAATTTTGTTGCACAACAAATTTTAATTTACTGGGAAAAACGTTTAAGAGATTTTTGTATACTCTGCAGCTGCTGAATTATTCTCAGTGACATCACCTCTTTGCTGCAATGCATTTTTTTGACATTTCATGTAAACAATAACAAATAAATACAGCGGCTAATAAATGCTTGAGTAAACATTTTTTTTGGTTTTTTATTTTATATTTTTACCATTACGTTTATTTTAATTTACATATATTATAAATAAAGGAAATTAATGTCTATTTAATGTAATGACTATATATAAATATAATTAAAAAACATTTAATTTTTTTAAAATATATAAAAAATATACATATTTAAACAGTTAACATATTTTTTAATATATTTTTATCATTACATTTATATTAATTTACATATATAATAAATAAAGAAAGTTAATGACTGTTTAATGTAATGACTATATATAACTATAATTAAAAAATATGTCATTTTTTTTATTAAAAAAAAAATATACATATTTAAACAATATATATATATTAATATTACATTAATAATATTACTAATATTAATTCTAATATAAGAACTAATATTTCAATATTAGTTGCTAAGATTTTTTCCACATTTATAAAATATGATTTTAAATTTGTTTAAAAAAGTGTTATTCAAAATTATTAAAACTAAATAATAAATATTAAGGCTTTTATGAATTTCAATAAAAAAATTTTGCTTAAATCTTTTTGTTTTTGATTTTCACAAAATCACAAAAAAAAAGTATTATTTAAAACTAATAATTAAATATAAAGGCTTCTGTGAGTCTCAACAAAAAACTTATAAGTGAATCTTTTTTAATTTAATTATTCGTAAATAATTTTATGAGACTGCAAGTGCCAAGGGTTGAGCTCGTGACCTACCAGATTTAAAGCTCAGAGTCAGTGCTAATTATCCAACTGACTCAGAGCTCTCAAAATACCTCTTTATTAAATCAATAGTTACTATTAAGAAACATGGTTTTTTTTCGTCATAACTGACTAAAAATTATATTAAATTTAATTTAATTTTCAATTCGTTAAATAAACGACTTAAAACCCGCTAAAAATAAATTATATATAATAACAAATAGTCCAATTTTGCTAAACAAGCCAGAGAAATGCCTAATAATTCGACATTGTCAAACAGACAATGGACGATTGTCAAAAGTATCTTTTTAATTTACCAAGTTAAATGATTGCTGAAAAGCATCATTTTTTGGACATATAAACGTGTGTCCAAAATACCAATTCCGTAAATTTATCTGAGAAAATAGAAAAAGGAAAAATGTGACAGGTTATTTTTAAAGATTAAGAACATCCGAAACTGTGCTAATTACTTTAAATTAAACATAAAAAGTGAAATTAAAGGTAAACTAAATATGCCACATGTAGTTTTCAAGGATTAAGAAAATGCAAACCTGGAAAGAATTAGAGACAGTAGAAGAATGAGTGCATCCGATAAACTATTGGATTAATGTGGTTGGTAACACCTAGCTTATTTACGTGCTCCACTTGGTACGCTACATATGATCTACACTGAAACAATGCGACAATCCACCTCTTTTTTTTTAAACCTTTTTTTATATTTAAAGTATGACAGCATCGTTTTCAGCATATATTCGTTACTTGATTTCTTCTTAGCAGAGCTAAAGAATTTTTAGGATGCCTATTTATTTAATAGAACACTCTAATCTTAAACACTGTAATCTTGTTGCATTTCTTGATGATGTCAATAGAAAGACTTCTAGTATATCAGAGTTTCTGAGATACCATTTTTAATATCGTTCCGACGGTAAATGAATGAGATTTCATTTCGAAATTCGTGGCAGTTCCGTGCGATGGCCGGATATACTTTTAAGAGCTGATCGTCCTTTCTAACAACTGCTTCCAATTATTCCAGAAACAGATCGACGGGAATTTTTACCTCATGTTTTATATTAAACATTTATTTATATAGATGTGGTTTATAAACTCTTTGAAGGGAATTTTTACCTCATGTTTTATATTAAACATTTATTTATATAGCTGCAGTTTATACGTTTTTTTTTTCTAATTGTAGTGAAGCAAATGTTTTTGTTATTTCAGAAAAACTACAAAAAAATAAAACTCCAAACATTGAACAATGGAATTCAAGTGTGGCATTGACTTAGAATGTTAACACGCAGGTCTTTGAAATTTGGCAGGGCTCAATACCTAGCACCTGCACTCCAAAAATGATATACGAAAAATTTTACCGACGAATATTTCTGAAGACTACTCTAGCGACAAATAATTGGCAATATGCAAAACAGATCTATGTTCGGTCAAAAAATTCCAATGGATTAAAAATAGTTTTATGTAAAAATATTTTGTTTTATTTTGTTATTTTTAGTTTATAAAGACTATAAAATAAATCATTTGTGAATATAATTATTTCAATTGCTTTAATAGAATTTATATATTTATTATTTATTTTATATTTTTTTCAATTTATAAATTTATATTTGTTTATATATTTATATTTTTCATGCAATTTAATTGTACTAAAAAATATTTTTATTTTCAATTTAACTATATAAATATATTTTATTTTTATGCATTTATAAAAATTTTATATCTGTTTTAATATTCAATTTAAATTTAATAAAATATTTTTTTGCTTCAATTTAAATCAATAAAAAAATTTTTTTTCAGTTTAAATTTAAATAAAATTTTAATAAAATATTAACATTTTTTTTTATTTTTATGCATTTATAAAAATTTTATATCTTATCTAATTTTAAAAACATATAAATCACTACATAGTAGTACAACTAAGTTTTTTTTTGACAACGAAATATTTTTAAACTTAAAATTAAGAAACTAATGGTAATAATTTTTAAACTAAATCGTTAAAATTATTAAACTGTATTAAGTTTAATATATGTAGACATGTTTATATATGCAATATAAATATACATACAAAAAATTCTTAAGTTCCGGCAGACGGCGAAAATGCTGTAGCTGTAAGCTTTATATATATAATATAATTGTTATAAATTTCTGTGTAATAAAACATATATAAAATGAAGTAAAATAAAGCTGAAATACTACTATTACTACTATCCTTAAGTTAAATCTGTTAAGATTATAAATTATATATATACATTTTTTATTTTTACATATATATATTTATATAAATACCTATTTAAAAAAATATAAAAATATTTATAAATACCTATTATATTATATAAATAAAATTATTATATTATTATAATATATAGATATTATATAAATTTGTTTTTTGCGGGGTTTTAGTTCGGTCTTATTATTTTAAATAATATATAAAAAAATATGTAAATAAAATTAGTGTTTTTATTTACATATTTTTGATTATGACAATCCAAGATCGATTTTAGTATTTACAAAAATTTACATATATATATATATATAATAGGGTTTTAAGTCGGTTTTGTTTTAGGTATATTATTATAAATTAAATATTAAAAAATATGTAAAAAAAATTAGTGTCTTTTTTACATATTTTTGATTATGACAATTCAAAATCGATATCAGTATTTACAAATATATATATACCACATATTATATACTATTTATTATATACAATTAATTATATACTATATATTTTATACTACTTACTATAAATTATACTAATTACTCTATTTTACGCTACTCACTATTTTTCATACTATTTTATACTAAAAATTATATATTAAAAATTATAGATAGATTGGAGTGGCGGCTTTATGCACCAAGGATATAATATATTAATCTTATTCCTAGCATACTACCCAAATGTTTAAATCAAAGATGTTTTTATGCTTTTAAGTAAAAGATTTACATTTTGGCAATGCAAGGTTTTTACAATACTAAATCTTAATGCTCTTAATATTTACTTTATAATAATCATGCATTTAAATTAATCTCTCCATTTGGTAGAACAAAGCATCTTCAGTTTAAGCACTCTTAATCCTCTTAATATGTACTTAATTATAATCATGCATTTAAGTTAATCACTTCACTTTGCTAGAATAAATCATCTTCGGCTTTACGTTTTCGTTTCTTCAGTTTCTGTTTAACGTCTTCCACTTTACCGCGCATCAGTTCTGTTTTTCGTTTTTTAGCGGCCTTCTTACGTTCCTGTATGCCGACCTTACGTTTTGCGGCACGTACTGGATCGTGTATCTTCTCTTGAGCTATAACCTTCTTACGTTCAGCTCGGCGCATCATAAGTTCAGTTTGTACATTTGTACGCAACTTATCATAGAGATCAGAGCCAATACGCTTACGTAGTCGACTGCCAACATGCAAAGCTAATTGCCTCAGCTTCAGATCTACACTGTCGTCATCCTCTGACATTTCACGCACAAGTGTAGGCAAAAGTGTGGGCAGCAAAATCTCTATGGTCTCAACGCTCAGCAACGTGATAAATCCTTCGATAAGAGTGAATAGTGCTGTACGCTGTTAATGTAATAAAAGGAGGCATTAAAATAAAAAATAGTTAATAGAAAATTATAGTTTATAATACTCACGATTTGTGTGGAGTGCGGTGCTCTAGCGACTTCCTTATTAATCAGAAAACGTATCCTACGTGCAAACCAATGTAAATTTATTTTGATCTCAACATTCGCCAGCGATACATTTCGCAACATATTGCCTATGTAGAGAAATATCTTCACTATCTCATCTATCATCTCCTGCGCAGTATCCCCAGGTGTAATTTGCGCACAAAGATCCAGAGTCAAAGACTTTATATCCAATTCGGGATTTATGTAAATGTAATTGAGCTTCGCTGACTGTGGGTTTATGCTTTCCAAAGTTTTTTCTTTATTAATAATTTGCGCAACTAAATCGAAATCATAGTTTCCCAGTACATGCGTGAGTATTTTGGCTGCATTGCAGCGCACGAGGGAGTGTTCATGTGCAAGTAGACGTTGTGACTCATAGGCGAGTTCATCGACGATATTTACTAGTTCTTCATTGGAGAAACATGTTTGACCGCAGTAATCGAATATCTTCAGCAGACAATATTGCATTTGTATAACTTCATGATCGATTGCTCGCTGCTTTTCCTCAACTGTCTCAGCAAGTGCTTCTTCATTACCAATTAAATGATCCATCTTCTCATATAACTCACGACGTCGTCCTTTATTTTTATGGTTTTGTATCACATCTTCCGCATGCACATCAACACCTAAGACAGCGGGGGCACGTACAAATCTACCCGGCGCATTTGGATTGTTTAGGGTGATACGTGCTTGTATTGAGGACAATATTGTCTTTAGACGCGGGGAAAAGGATTGCTTTTCGACATTGACGAAACGTGAACATAAACAAGCGCCCATTTCCCTTGTCGTGGCTTTATCATTAGATTCCATTAATAATAAAATAATATCAAATAGCAATTGACGATTGACTTTATCCAAACGGTTTATTAATAATTCAATGCATTCTGCGACTGCTCTACGACAATCAGGTTCATCATCGTTGACCAAACGTAAACCCAACGTTAGAAACAAAAACTCGGCACGTTTTGCAAGAATCTTATGTGGAAATTTTTGTATGACAGTGTGAAAGAACTTAATCACTGATTGCCGTCCAGTTGGCAGGGAATAACACAGTTGTGCCGACATGAATTTTATAACCTGATCCACACGGTGTTTAAGCTTATATTCCATAAGGTAGATGAAAAGTATTGCGCGCGTTTCATTACGCACGAAATCCGATTGAGAAACAATGGATAGATCGCCGATCTTTTTCATCAATTCATGTAAAGCCCTTGAGTCCACCTTACGCGTAACCAAGGCTTTAAGCAGTGGTAAGCACATAGCTTGGTTTTCACCTTCATACAAATCTTGCTCGATATAAAGCACCAGCTGCGTGATTTGCTCTTCAGTCAACTCATATTCAGTATATTTCCGCAAAAGTGCGACGATTGCTTTAAAGGATGACTTTACCAGTTGAAAGTTATCTTCTTGTTTAGTGGCACCGAAAGTGGAAAAATTCTTTAGTATTTCGAACATGCGTGACACAATATCTGTTATGTATTCCTGTAATGCAGGCAGTTCATATTCCTCATTCCAAATCGAAGCAAAACATTTCAGCGCAAATGTTGTGCAGCGTATATGTGTGCTTTTCAAGGAATCTCTAAGGAGTGGTAGTAAAGGATGCAAAAATGGCTGATAATTCACCGACATAAGCTTCTTACGTTTCAGGACAATGTACAACATTTCCAAACCGAATTCAATCAATATGTGCGCATTTGCTTGTGCATTCGATTTAACAATTTTATTAACAGCGCCAGATCTTGTGCGTGGCGCTGGTTGTATGATATAGCAATCAGGGCGCGCTCGTCGCATTTTCTCCTTCTCTTGATCACTAAGCACTCGTTTCTGTGTGCCCGGCAATAAGTCGGTTATGCTTTCCGATATTGTACCATAAACAAAATAAAGTAAACTCTGGCATGTTATGTGCGCATTTTCCACCAAACCAGCAACAATTTTGGCAAAACAATCTTGTATTTTCATAGTTACTTTTCTGGACTGTGAACGTGTCAGATGATCCCGAAAAGGTAAGAGTAAATCGAGTAAACATGTTTCCTGTATGTTACGCGCTACTATATGCAAGATTAGATAGCTTTTGGCACTTGGCTTTGCTTCTGGCGTGTGTGCGGTGATCTTATCAATACTCTTTTCCACAGCCGCCTCTCCAAAAATATCATTCATAGCCACTTCTAAAACATTGCCTAGACAGCGATCTATATCACCCGCTTGTAATATCTCACGTAACTCATCGAGTACACCATGCACAGTGACAGAAAGCACATGTATTTGGAAACCACGGGTCAGTAGTGTTTGCAAATGATCCATAAGCAATGCTAGGTAACTAGAACCCAAGGACTTCATTATTTTTTTCAGATTGTCAAGTGTGAACCGCCGCACCGACTTCAAAGGTGAACGTAGAAACGTGCAGACTTTCATAAAAATACCTGTTGGATAAGTATAAGTATAAGTATAAGTATAAAAATAATGGTATTTTCATGTATTCGATGTATAGTGTATATTATAGTATAAGTATAAGTATAAGTATAAGTATAAGTATAAGTATAAGTATAAGTATAAGTATAAGTATAAGTATAAAAATAATGGCATTTTCGATTGGTAAATCTGGATTCCAATCGAACATTTTTAGAGTAATCCAAAATTATTCTAGTCATATTATATTTATCACAAATACATATATTTAATTAAATCATAGTTTGTCTGTCAAATCATATAAAACTGCTGTTAATTTCAAGTTAGTATTGCTACTCTGGCAAAATATCTAGAGTGTTATAAATGAATCTCGAGTGTTATACATTTTGCTCCAGATTTCCACTAAAACTGCATTAAAAGAGCATCTCGATTAAAAAAATTACCCCAAATTTACCAATCGCAAACGGCAAAGTATAAGTATATAATATTAGTATTATAATAAACATATGTAAGTTTTTAATGGTATATAACCTTACCTGGTAAACTAGCATCTAATAGGTCCTTAGGTAGTTTCTGTAGCAGCTTCACCATAGCTAAAGCTATAGGCACACGTAAAATTTCTTCTTCCTCACGTTCAATGCTCAACCGCTTGCGATTCACTTTATGTTTCGTATCGTAGCTACTCTTCTCGGTAATGGAACGATTAAGCGTGGGTATGAGTATAGTAGTTATGGTGGATATCACACGTTTGGCAGCACCAACGGACAACACTAAATGTTGCTGCAGTAAAGACTTTTGTGTCACATTAACCGTATTTGTTGTCTCATTTTCTGTTTCAACATCTGACTCGCTATCAGCTTCCAAGTCAGCATCAAAATTTGTGGTATCATCTGCTTGTGCTTTGTTGTCTTCATCAACTTCTTCATCTTTGTTATTGGAGACATTTTCTGACAGTGACGTTTCTGTTGTTTTCGCAACTGTAGTGTCTATTTTCTTTACCTTTGATTCTGCAACTCCGTACTCAGTTAATTCCTGCTTTAATTGTGTTAATGCTAACTGATCAGTTTCGGCTTTCGTCAAATCAAAGTGGAAGGCATCTAGTATGCGCACAACAATACGCACACTCTGCTTTTGTTGTTCCAAGGATGTACGCATTTTAGAGAGGTAGTAACGCAATACGTTATAGTATTGTGTCCAAGGCAAGAGCTGACAAGCCACTCCAACAGCCTCTATAGCGGCATCAACAACTGAATTCATGCCAGCATATTTTTCTTGTAGCAAATACCTTGAAGTCAATGGTAGCACAAACTGTGTTAGAGTTTGTGCATTGGGTGGTTTGATGAATGTCTCTGCAGCTTGTGCAAACTTCAGTAGTGCACGTCCATGCATTTTTATCTGCAAATGTGTGATATTTTCAAAGAAATCTGCATCGGCGTCTTGTTTATTCACAAGTGGTTCCAGATCTACGAGGACTTCGTGTGCGAAAGCAGATGTGCGCACCATTTCGCCAAGCAGTCTTATACCTTCGTTACGTGCATTATCATTGTGGTCACGTATGAGACGCCGCAATAAATTTAATAAAACATCATTCATCAAATATCTGAGTTGCACTTTATCTGCGGCATATATTTGTAAAAGCTTGGGCACGAGTAGTTTTAGCTGCTCGCTGGCATTATCTCTCAAACCCATGTCTTTGTCATATTTGATGAAGTAAAAACAATTGTATATCACCAACACACCAAGATCCATATCAACTGTGGCAGCATTTACCTGTTGTGTGATTTCTTTGAAGGCTTCCAAACGCATTTCATAGTCAGGTTGTTCCACCCAACGTTTATCCCAAGCATTCAGCATATGCATAATACGTGCAATCTTCTTCAGGCGTTCACATAGTGCAACTTCTATAGAATTGGAATCATCTGTTTGCTTACAACGTACCTTAGCTATGTCAGCTACCAGTTGGCAGAGCATTTTACGTCCTGTCACTTCCTGCACTTGCTCAAATAGTGGTGCTATCTTCAATAGGTACAATTCAGGACTTGACAAGCGCTTTATAAGATTTGATAGCGTGTTAATCACTTGTGTAATGACTTGCTCTTCACCGGCAACTGTTTGTGTACGGGCAATGAGTATGGGCAGCAACAACTGTAGTAGGCTATCGCATGTTTCCGCATCTTCAACATGCGTAGTCAGCAAAGAGAGTATATTCAGCTCACGTTTGTCTAGATTCTGTTTACCTGTACGTTTGGCAGCTAAGTTCATGCGCAAGCGTTTTAATATTTGTGGTATGAATGGTTTAAGCAACTCAAGTGTGTTGTATGTTGTTGTGGGTGTTAGTTTGTAAGCTTCGTAGGCAACCAACAAACGCTCGATTAACTCTAAAATTGGCTTTCGTACAGCAGCTTTCGTTTTCTCATTCAGCAACAGCTCCATGATATAGTGAAAAATGACTTGCTGACTGCTCGCATGCGGCTGGTTCAGATAAATAAAAAGTTTCGGTTGTTCTCCCCACTGCAAGAGCAATTTGAGTAAATTGGTGGGTGAATGTATGCCATCCAGAGGTAATTTTTCGATTGTTGGCCAAACGAAGACTTCAGTTAAGCACTTCATATCTGCTAGCTGCCACTCAAATTCTGTAATATGCGCAAAGAAATTGACTAAACCCTGTAAAGCATTATTTTTCACATTTTTATAGACAACAGGCATCTTGGCATGCAGCTGACTGGTGTCTGTTTGGAGCACAGCATTACAAACGCTGCCCACAAATGTGAGCAATTTGATCATGTACATATGGAACTCTCGTTGCACCAAGCCACCAAACTCTTTACGTATGAGCTCCAGTAGATTAACTATATTTTGCAGCTTCTTTGCTGAACAGACAGCGCTAAGTTGAAAATCAGCTGCTACTAGCGCAGGCACCTCATTCAAGTTAACGGCATCATTTGTGTACTTGTCATATTTTCCAAATGCCATTTGTAGAAACCAAAGCATTTCATCCGTTGTACATTGACCCAAAAAGCGTAGGATTAAAGCTTTACGCGCTTGTGGACTGACATTGCGTTGTGCACCTTTAGTGATCATTTTGCCATAGAGCAAACGTAGCAGTATTAACATAAGTGGCTGACGTTGCTCTTCCACTACTGTGTCCAATTTAAAATTGATGAGTTCTTCTTTGAATTTGTTGTCATCAATGATGCCGTATAATTGTTCTTTGTAATTAAGCAAGGCTTTTACTTTGTAAGCGAGTACACAATCCAACGCCACTTTTTGTAATTGCGCATTGGGACAAGCAAGTAAATCCATATAAAAACTATATAGTTTTGGCTCGCGATAAAGTGCTTTAGGATTTGGTTGATTTACGAATATACCAAGTTTACTCTTTAAAGTCTCTAGTATGAATTTAGCTTTCGTATTTTGTTTCTGCTTCACACGACGTTTCGGCTTTGGTGTGCTGTTGCCGCTGCTCTGCTGCATATCATCATCGTCTGCTTCATCATCGTCCGCATCCTCCATTTCTAATGCTATTTGTGTTTCACTTGTAGCTAATAAGTTCCAATTGAACTCGTATTTTTCCAAATGTTTGCGATATTCTTCACTGACAAAATTAAGAAACAACGTAACCAAGTCACGATTCTTAATTTCCACAAGCTGACCAAATTGTGGCAGACGTGTCCATAGCAGATTACGATAATTAAATAATTCTTGCTGCGTAAGTGGCACGGAAACATGCGGTGTTAACAAATCATTCAAAGCCACACTCTGCCATTGTATCGCAACACTTTCTGCTGGTAGCACTGCCTGCTCTACCTCTTCATAGTGTATGGCTGCCGCTGTGCTCTCCAGTTTTTCCTTGAAGATCAACCAGAAATCTTGCGCAGGCAAAACTTTGGCATACTCTTCAACCAGTTTCAAAACTGGCAACCAAATGGGTTTGAAGTTTATGTACAATAAACCCAGCAAGTAACGTAATGTATCCATTCTGTAATTATTGTCGGTCATGGACTTAAAGTACTCACCGGCCGTCTCCAACTTTTGCAGCAACAACAATTGTTCGCGATAGTTATAGACATTTGGTTCAATGCATTCAGCATCGTAGAAGATTTTATAAGGATTTGGACTTTTTCCCGCTGTACTCTTGTGCAGCGTGTGCAGACAATGTGCCGCAGTTAAACGTATATTGCGATTATGTTGACCTAAAAGCATTGATAGCTGCGCAGGTAGCTCTTTATTTGTTTTGATTGTGGTACTATATTTAAATAACAGCAGATCCAGCATGCCTAAGACATGTGGATTGCACACATGTGCCAACAAACAGTTTAGTATGCCTTCCAATTGCTGTTTCTTGAGGTTGACATCAATATGTATACTTGTCTCAACTAGCACAGCTAGGAGTAGTAGATACTTTTGCGACTCTACTGAAGCGTTAATTTTTTTTACACACTCCTCCACAGCGTCTACAAAGCTAGCTGTTAAAGAGTCCACATCCAAAGCATTCAAATGTGGCACCAATATCAGTAACAGCAAGTATTCCTCCAAGTGCTCAGCGCTCTTACTCAACTCTTGTAGTCTGCTGACAATTTTTTTCAGTGTAGACTGGCTTTTTACTTGTAATGCATAACGTTTCCATTGTTGTAGACCACTGGCATTTAATGCTAAAGGTTGCTTTTGCAAAACGACTCTACTTAACAGTTCAAATGACTCCAAATCGAGTTGCTGTTCAAAATGACTCACCACTGCAGGCAATATTAACAGCTCAAATTGTGCATGATTGACTACAGCGAGCACAAATGTACTGTAAATTTCACGTTGTTCCAGCGTCAACAATTTCTTAATCAAACGGCTCGTGTCCAGCTGCGTCAATTGATTCGAGTCTGACAACAAAATTTTAGCCACTAGCGTTACCAACAATTCCAAGGCTTCTCTAGACTTCTCTGGCTTAGCTTGTTTACAGATATCATATAATTTTAGTACTGTCGGCACTACCACATCCATTTCCGCCAAGTAGCGTCCATTTTTATACTCAGCGCCTAAAATAAATATCGGCAATAAATACTCCAATTTGTTACAGTTCTGTCGGCATTTTGCCACTTCGCATAATTTTTGCCAAAACAAATTTACGCTACCAACATTTACAAATATCAACAGTTCCTGCATGGCATAACGCACAATCTCAAATAGTAACTGCGCCTTCACCTTATCTTTACGTTGCTCATCCACCAAACATTCAAATAGGAACTGCAGCAAATTACCAGCGACCGAGTGCAACTGCCCCTTAACGCCACGCAGTATTTCAAAAATTAAACGTCCACATCCGCGTACACTATCTACTTGCTCACGCCTCACCGTCTCCAACACAAAATCCAGAAACTTGCGATAATCCCTAAGGTCACGCGCGACATAAGCGAAGCATTCAACTGCAAAGTTTGTGACGTGCTCCTCGTAACATTGCTCGTCTAGCAGTGGTAGTATAGCATTGAATACAACTCCTATATTTTTTTTGAGGTATGGTTTCAAAGTTTTAAACAAATGCGCCAAGCATATAAGCGTCCATTCCAATTGGTCACCATCCTGTGTATTAAATAAACAGATCAAACGATCCAAGATGCGTTGAAAGTAGACATAAAAATCTTCACGCAAATCACGTCCCAACACATACAATAATTCCAGTGTCGGCTGTAATGAGAGCACTGTAGCTGTGGACAAATGTTCGAGTAGTGCGTCGACCACGAAATCCCTCTCATGCAAGAGTTGTGCTAAGGTGACGATTTTAGTGAACTTTCGACTTAACGCACTAAACTCATTGGTCAAATTTATTATTGTCCATTTTTTTAACGTTTGATAGAAATAAGTTTCATCATCTTCCGGCAGTCGCTCATTTTCGTGCTCAATGTGGTACAAAGCGAGTTGGCGCAAGTCGATTTCATTTATGCGCTCACCGAAAGATTTAAACTAAAAAGTATAAAAATGTATTAACAAAAATATGTACAAAAGTAAATTACACATGAAACTATATATATAAAATATAATTAAAATAAAATAATTAAAAATGTTTCAAGTTCAACTATAAAAGCCGCATTTCTTCAAAATTAATTCCACACTTAATAGCATTTATTTTTATATTTCACATATAGCTTAGTAAAAATATATTAATTTTGAACTATTAAAATCAACTCTATATATGAATTATTAGATAAAATTAATTATTTTATTTTTGGTTAAAATATTGTAGCCTCAATATTTTTAATTGTTTTTCACTGTTTAACTCACACGAAAAGTATTAGAATTTTTGCTTTTATGTGTAGTTTCACTCATTTTTTATGTTTTTCATTCGTATTCATTAAGTAAATTCAATTTATAAACAAATTATTTATTATATTATTGAGCACAACTTCTGAAGGCGCTACACGTGCATTTGCCACATTTTAAACCTGACAATTGCAAAAATGTAAACAAACCAATCTGCTCGAAAGAAGTATGTTCAGTACGCGACATTCGCAAATAAAAACATGCCGCGAATTGTAATACTCGCTGAATTTAATGTTTTATATATTTATTTTTAGACATATGATATTTGATTGTTAGCTAAAATGTTAAATATTAGATTTTATATCTATATATGTGTTAATTATATATAATAGAAAAATGACTGCATACCGTATTATTGTGAATAGCTGTAATTCAAAATAACAATTGTATTATTCAGCAATTAAGCTGCTCATCCACTTTATATTAGCTGTGTTCGACTACGTAATGGAGTAAAAAACTAAATAAAACATATAATTGAATTTGTTTATATTTCTGTTCTAGTACGCATAATACCATTTTTCTACTGGTCTCATTCAGATAATTTTGCTCTTTATGCACGCTAAAAAGGATAATTCGCCATACAAAAATCTTTCATGTATATGAGCTCATAAAGAAAACGAATTCAACCCTTAAAAATAAATTTCCCACAATGGAAATTACAAAAATTTGATATATGTGCCACATGTTTTATATAAAATATAAACAAACCAAACTATAAACAGAGGTACTAAGGAAGTAAGTATTATATAAATTCTTTATTTTTTTTTAATTAAATATGTATTTTAAAATCTAAAATTTTACAAGTAAAATTGAAGTAAATTTTGATAATAAAATTCAATTAAATTTTATAAGTAATATGCGGAAAAATTAATAAGAAAAATTAAAGTAAATTTTATATCTAAAATTCAAGAAATTAAGTAACAAAATTTTAATACATTTAATACGTAAAAGAGCACACTGAAATTTTAATTTCAGTTTAATTTTAAGAGCTTCAGAAATTTAATTATAATATTTACTTGTGGTGTTTAAATATTATATATATTAATTCATAATTTACATAAAATAATACTATATAAAAATGTACACAAAAATAAATTTTTTCATTATCAAATTTAATATAATATCTTATTTACCGCCAATATAAAAGAAAATGTATAAAACATATATAAACAAAATAGTTTATTTCATTATTTTTTATTTTACTTAAAAATGTTTTTATAGTTTATGTTTAAATGATCCTCATATAAAGAATTTGATGTTTTTACTCTCATATTTAATTTTACTATTTGTTTTATATGAAAAAATAGAAGTTTGCTTTTATATGATATGATATGATATGATTTTAATTAGAATTTAAATAAAAAGCTTAAAAAATTTTATTTTAAAGAAATAAAATTTATACGCTGTTTTTAAATAATATAATAGAGCAATTTAGAGCAATTAGAATATCGTAAAAATTTGATATATACGGTATACGATGCATAATTACATATATGTATAATTAAATTATTTATATACAATATATAGATGATTTCATACTCAGTTACATACTATAGATATTTATTATATTGTAAGGAAATTTAGAAAACTTACTTGAAAGACTCTCAAAGGTGGTGCATGGTATTAAGTCTTGTTTTCTACTCGATTATATCTAAAAATATAATATCACAAAAAAATATATAAAAATCGCATTTTATATTTTTATATATGTAAAAATTCCAATATTAACGCTTTTTGTAAGCATGTCGCAAAAGAACAAATAAAATAAGTATTATTTGCAATGGCAACTCTGGACAAAATGGAAATTTTTACATGATTGTTAATAAAATATAAATCTTCATATGATAAAATAATAAATAGAAAAAGTAACGTATTTGTTATGAACAATAACGACACGAAATACGAATAATTAAGGAATTCATTCGTTGACAGTTAACTGGAAATTTCGTAAGTACTTCCAAAATTCGTTCACAATAGACCAATTTTTAGTCTTGGCAACCATGCGATTTGAGCTGCTTTTTAGTTAAACGTTGCAAAAACGTTAGCAGAGTTGTTTTTTTCTAAGTTATTTTTGAAATAAGCGGTTGCTCTTTTGTAATATGATTATAAAAGAAAAGGCCTATTATTATATATACTCACTTGTATTTTTATACCAATGTTTAGAAGTTTCTGATTTTGATGATTTGTCAAACTTTTTTTTTTCATCTGCCGGCAATGAGTTGAATACTTCCGCATAGCTTTTATTGGGGCAATTACTTGGGGCCGGAGCGCATATCACTTTTGGAGTTTCTTTAGCAACTTCGTTAATACTCTTTTTAGGTAGTTTGATTTCATTTTTAGGAGGATTTTTAACTTTTGTAGTCATTAAAAAATCAAAGGAAGTTTTTATCGCAGTACTTGGATAAAACTGATATTTGCTTTTTGGCGGATCTTGTGTTCCAGAATATGAAGACGTGTTTTTGGATTGATTATTACTCGGCGGTGGTTCAATTTTAGTTTTATTTGCTTTAACACACTCAGCCACCGTAAGTCCGATTGCTTTGTTTGGTCCGTTTATATCCTTACTATGAACGTCATCCATACGTTGGATAACATTTGTAGTATCATGTTTTTTTCTTAGAGCGGCAAGAGTATCAATGGACATTTGTGTTTTTGGAGTTGCATTCTTATCTACTTGAATGGCTGCAGACTTACTAGCTTGACTCATTGTTTTTTTCTTTACAATGGGACCAGCGAGTGCTTGAAAAGCATTCCAAAATTTTAAATGTGCCATTGCCAAAACCTATTACTTTTGCATTTAAATATATATAATCTTTTATTTTAACTGCAAATTTAGAAAAAAGTTCCGAAAAATTTAAATGGAGTAAAGTTTGAATTTTTTTTACAATGAAGAATGAAAAAATTATTTATACATAAGATTTTTTAAAATTTTTCTAAAATAAATTGTTTACTAAGATTTAAATAAAATACAAAAACACAACAGTGGTATTTAGACGTAGCTCATTAACTCGGTATTCGGTGAAGTAATATTTGGTCTGTTCCCTTGAGGTGTTGTGAAATTCAATTTTCTTTTTCTGTTCCCATACTTAAAATCAAGCAAGAAAATTCGTAAGAGCGAGTTGTCATTTCGTACTATACAAAATTTACTCGAAATACACTAAAAAATTTTCCTCGAGTAAAAAACAGCTAAATTGTGTTATCAATATGAACATGGTTATTAAATAATATTTTTATTGTAATGGAGCAAAATTTATGTACTAAATAATATTTATAAATAATATTCAATTGTTTCGAAAACTAAAGATTGCTTGAACTTAATTGTGCCATAAAGTTGAACGTGTAACAGTCCTTTTAATTTTATGTACAATACAAGTGATATTGTACTGTACAGTCCTACAGAATTTTACAGAAATACAGAAATGTATTTTACAGATTATAGAAATTTCCCACAGAAATTTTTACTAAAGAATTTTTAGAGCCATAAGCTTTCATTACATTTTGTTCAGTCGAAATAGCTGGTCGCATAAAGATATCGGATATATATTTCATTATTTCAAATATTTATTGAAATTTTTTAAAATTTTTTCTATATCTTTTGTGATTCTAGTTTGAAAATGGAAGACAAACTACCCAACTACGAAAAGTATTTGCTTCCAAAAGGTGAGCCTAAGATAACGGTAACTCAAGATGAGAAGATGCCAAACTGTTATGTTGTCGTTATCAAAAGAGAAGACTCCACTGTTCTTGAGACGATTAAAACAGAATTAATGAAAAATGATAATGTACTCTTCTGTGGCTATCATGTTTATCATCCTGAAGATTATGAAGTAACCTTACGTGTGATGACTAATGGTGTACAAACTTGTAAAGAGGTCTGTCAAATAGCTTTTCAGAACATTCGAGATGAATTGCAAAATCTGCACCAGGAACTAATCAAGGCTATATCAATGAAAAAAGTTGAATTAGGACAAGCAGATACTGACCGGAATAATAACAATAGATACTATTTTCACTACATGCAGAAACTTTTGGTAGAGAAGGAGGAAAGGGAAAAGGCTAAACAGAAAGCAGATCAGAAGTGTATGCTGGAAGAAGGAAAAATGTTATTATTCGATACAAAACCATATACTAAGTTTAAGTAAATACTTAAAACATTTAATTAAATTTGATTAAAAGTTAAGAAATTGTAAACATACTATTTAATCACAAATTGGTAAAATAATAAACATTTATTAACATACAGGGTTGTATTTATGACTTTTTAATATATTTTATCAAGTAGGTATATTACGGTTGTTTTATGTATTTATGAATTATTTCTGAAAATATTGAAACTCAGTTGTTGAGCACAGCTATTTTTACAAATTTTGTCTCAAAGCAGAAATTGTGTCAATTTCTAAAAATCTTTTCTTTCCTTTTCTTATCTTTTCAAAAAAGATTGCACTGAATTTTTTTCAACATGATTTGTTTGTCTAAATGATTTAAATTGGTACAATTAAACAAAATATAAATATTTAAACTGAAAGATATTAACTGAAGCAATACATTTAAAACTTTTCACTTAAGAATTGCTTTTTCTTTTATTCACTTATTGCATACTTAGGCAATTCTAGCGTATATAACACAAGGCTGGATCTCTTGCTATAATTTAAGAAACTTAAAGCTACAACGGTAATAAATTTAAATACATATTTTATGAAACTGTTAATAATTATTAATAACTTTTTTTTAATCAATTCTCATCTTTAGTGATCAAGGAGAATAGCATTTCCATTAAAGATGGTGTTGTTTTTCAGTATCGGTAAATTAATTACCTAAAATTAAATTATAAATTATTATATATATAATTACTTGAAATAGCTTTTAAGAGTATATAAATAAACAAATAATGATAACGATTAATAATATTAATTACTAATAATAATAGATATGCTAGCATATATCTCATTAACAGAAAGTTCTAGAGTGCATAGCATTTTTATTAAAAATGGTGTTTTTTTCAGTATCGGTAAATTTATTGAAATTATAATCTATATAGTCACTTTAAAATGCCTTTAAGAGTGTATAAATAAACAGACAACTATAATAATTAATAATAATAATTACTAATAATAATAGATATGCTAGCATATATCTCATTAACAAAAAGTTCTAGAGTCCAAAAAAAATTTTAACATTCTACCAAAACCGTATGCCAAAAGGGGCTTATAAAATTTATTAAATTTAAAATAATAAAAAATCTATTGTTTATAACTGCTTTAAATCAACATTATTATTTTAAAAATAATGTTTAATTGGTTTTTTTTAAATATAAGTTTTGGTTTTCTAAATCAATTTCAGTTAAAAGTCAAAAGATTGAACACAAGCCAAATTAGTATAAAATAATTTAATAATGATTTTGTTTTTTAATGGGCTAATTGTCAGTAGTTAAATAATATACTTTCAACATTTTTTTCTGTTTTTTAAACATTTTTATTTGAGCCGATATTTCGACTATAGTCTATTGTCATCATAGACATAGTAAGTTGATGATAATGATAAAGCAATTGACTAATTAACTTAATATACAATAATAATAATAATAATAATAATAATATTTAATAAATACATATCGCATATATTTTATTATTTTTTTATTTTAACAATATGTGAAAAACAATTCACAATAGATTTTGTGTACAAAAACAGTGTTCCCAACCTCAGCAGAGGTCCAACACGTGTTTTTGCTCAGTTCTTCATTACACGCATTTCAAATTCTGTCAACTTTGGTGGCGCATCACGCCGCGTGTGTTATTTTTCAAGTTTTCATACAAATTGTTTTTAAATAAATTGAATTAAACTAATTATGGGTAAACCAGGTACGGAAGAACAAACTTGTGAAAACATAAATTAAAATAAAAATAAGATTGAATATTCATAATATAAATATCTAAATTAATTTTTATAACCTATTTGTGGTGCACAGGAAATAAAATTATAATTGAATTTAATTATAGGATTTTCTCCCCGTGGTGGTGGCGGCGGTGATAGAGGCCGTGGTGGTTTTGGTGGTAGAGGTGGAGGCGGTGGTGATAGAGGCCGTGGAGGTTTTGGTGGTAGAGGCGGTGGCCGTGGTGGTGGCGGCGGTGATAGAGGCCGTGGAGGTTTTGGTGGTAGAGGTGGTGGTGGTGGCCGTGGTGGTTTTGGCGGTCGCGGAGGTGGTGGCCGTGGAGGAGGCGGAAGAGGACGTGGTGGTGGTGGCCGTGGCGGCGGAGGTGGTGGCTTCAAAGGAGGCAAAACAGTTGTTATTGAACCACATCGTCATGAAGGCGTTTTTGTTGCACATGGCAAAGAAGATGCATTGGTTACAAAAAATTTTGTGCCTGGCTCCGAAGTCTATGGTGAAAAAAGAATATCTGTTGAGGTAAGTTAATATTTAAACATAAAATATAGTTTTCTTTAAAATGATGAGTACGTGCAGGGGTATAGAACATGGCGAAATGTGGCCATGAAGCACCTATGTGTTCCGAAACTATATGACTCGAGGTCATTTGTATAGTTTTCGGCCATAGGTGTTTAAATTTATGCGCAACTGATTAAGAAATATATAATAATAAAATTTTTAATTTTTTCGCTTTAATTAAATTAAACCAAAAATTGTTGATTTCAGGGAAATGGCGAGAAAATTGAATACAGAGTATGGAATCCATTCCGTTCGAAATTAGCTGCTGCTATACTTGGTGGTGTGGACAAAATTCACATGGGACCTGGCTCAAAAGTATTGTATTTGGGTGCAGCTTCTGGCACTACCGTCTCACACGTCTCCGATATTGTTGGTCCTGATGGCTTGGTGTATGCTGTTGAATTCTCACATCGATCCGGACGTGATCTTATTAATGTAGCAAAGAAACGTACAAATATTATACCCATAATTGAAGACGCCCGACATCCACATAAGTATCGCATGCTTGTTGGTATGGTCGATACAATTTTCGCTGATGTAGCACAACCCGATCAGGGACGTATTGTTGCTTTGAATGCTCAACATTTCCTTAAAAACGGTGGACATTTTGTCATATCAATTAAAGCATCCTGTATAGATTCCACTGCTCAACCCGAAGCTGTATTCGCTGCTGAAGTCAAAAAAATGCAAGCAGACAAATTGAAACCACAGGAACAGATTACGTTAGAGCCATACGAAAGAGACCATGCTGTAGTTGTGGGCGTCTACAGGCCGCCACCAAAGAACGTAGGCTCATAAGTGCAGATAGTTTTTTTTTCTTATCAATATCTTTCATTTCCTAGAGATTTAAAATAATTGCTCTTAGTTTTAAGTTTCCGTTTTACTTTATCAAATATTAAAGTAAAAGTTTTAAGAATTAAAATAATGCATTTTATATTAAGTTGTAAGACAATACATTTGCAAAATATTTAATAGTTTTTTTAACATTCAGAAAAATATTTTAAACATTTTTAATAAAAATGATTTAGTACAAAAACAGTTTTTGAATTTAGTTTTGTTATACACTGTAAAAAAGAATGCAAATAATATTAAACTGATTTCAAACGTCAGAAACATGTTACTATATCGGCGGTGATATTTTCAGGGGGTATAAGGGAATATAATATTAAGATACAAAAGCACTACCAAAAATGACTTTTTTTGCATATAAACCCTTTGGAAAACGCATGACTACTGCAAATAGGTAATCTATTCTAGTTTTCGAGTACATAATAGGTCTATATTCTGTTGCTTTTGTTAGTTATTTGCAATAATTAAATGTCATAGACAACGTAAGATAACGTGAGTTGCACATCAAAGTTACTCTTCATTATGATAATTAACTAATTTATAGAACTAGTAATCATAGCGTAAACATTTCAATTTAAAATGGCAATTACAAAATTTAGTCAACTTTGAGTGCTAGAACGAACACCGTATTATGATAGGTAGGATAGATATATAAAAACATATCCTTTTGAAAAAACATGGTAACCAATTCATGGTGTGAACCCTAAAATTTCATATAGCAATTTCAAAATTGAGCCACGTTTGGGTACTTTTGATGAATAAATATATAAATACATATGTTATTTATAGTGCAAATACTTCAATCTAATATGGCAATCTCAAAGTCGAGTCAATTGTAAGTGCTAGTGTAAACACCGTATTATGAAGAATAGGGTCTATAATTGGAATACGGGAGTATGAGTTCTTAAACAAGAATAGGAAGAAAATAACGCTTTATTTCTCAGAAAAAATTTATTGCATTATATCTCTTATATATGAATTTTATTAATTGAAGGATAAGAATTTATGAATTGGATATTTAAAAGATATTTATAACATGTAAATATGTTGTTATTTATAGTACATAAAAAAAACTTACTAGGTCCGTGCGTGATACTAATACAGATACTTGCTCTATTCTACATGAATTGATGTATTGTTGCTTTTTTTTAGTTAATAAAGTTAATTTTTTGTTTATTTACGATTATCAACACTGTTTACATGAGTTAAACAAATAATTTAGTACCATATCATTGGTACATGGTTAATCCCACACATTAACCATACTCAATAATCATTCTGCTTATATTATTCAATATTTCCCGCACACGACCATAATATATATTTCAATTTTGGTAATTTCCCTTATGGGAAATTTATTTTCAAGTGTTGCATTCAATATTTTCCGCCTTAAATCAGTTAATTTATTTAGAATGAGCTCATTTATATGAAAGCTCTTTGTATTGCATATAATTATCTAAATTATAATGCTAAATTATCCTTTTAGCGATCTTATTGAGCAAAAATGCCTAATTGAGACAAGCGGAAACATAATTATTAGGTATTACGGACGTGTGCGAGTTAGGCTAAGTTGAACCAAAATAAGGTTCAAATAAATAAACCAAATAAGGAATTTTTTTTTGTTATTTTTTGCACTGCACACATTTAGCCATTTATCAACACGTATCGACACATCACTACATTATCCGCACAACTTAGAATTTCCCTCATTTAGAACACAACTTAGCCTAACTCGCACACGTCCTACGTTTAACTAATTTCATTTGAATCTTCAAATTTATTATAAAGTGTTTCATCTATATCAACGTGGTATTGTTCATTTTTTGATGTTTTCTTTATTTCTCATTCTAAACATTTCTTCATTACCACGTGAAGGCACATTTTGAAACGTAAAGCGGATTGATTGTTTTGTGCCATTATAAATAATTATTAAAATTGAACAATGGTGGAAACAAAATCTATAGATTTAATAGGAACAATCGAAGAAGATGCCGAGGTAGAAAATTTTTCTGATGACTCGGATGCTGAAGTGGAGGTATATGCAAAATCAATTTCATAAACAAAGCCACTAAAATAACCTATAAAATAAATGTTTAAAACTAATTGATATTAAATAAATGTAAATTTACAGTATCAACCAACTAAGCAACGTCACAAGAAAGAGACTGACTTTGATAAAGGTTTTGAGTTTGTGTCTTCCGTTAAGGAATACAATCAAGACACCTGGGATGATTTAATGAAATATGTTAAACGTAAGGCAAGAACAAAAACAGATGACAAAATTGCTGAACGCTTGAAAAGTCGTGGTACTAATGGACAACAAAGTGAAGAGGAGAGCGATGACGAGGTAAAACTACTAAACACAGTAAATGATATATTATTAAAGGATACTTTTTAGATACACGTATCAGATGACGAATTGAAGCATGATAACTTACGTTTACGTGAAAAGAAACAAATTAAAAAGAAGAAGAAGAAGACTGGAAGCGATGTTGACGAAGAAGATGAGGGTGAAAAAATGCAATTTGAAGAGAGCATTGATAACAATGAAACCATTACTTCATTCTATCAAATGAATTTATCACGACCATTAATGCGTGCAATAGGTGTACTTGGCTATATTTATCCTACACCTATACAAGCTTCCACAATACCAATTGCATTACTCGGACGAGATATATGTGGTTGCGCTGCAACAGGTACGGGTAAAACAGCGGCTTATATGCTACCAACACTTGAACGTTTACTCTATCGTCCAATGAATAATAAAACGATAACACGTGTGCTTGTGCTTGTACCCACGCGTGAATTGGGTGCACAAGTCTACCAAGTTACGAAGCAATTATGCCAATTTACTACCATTGATGTCGGTTTAGCTATTGGTGGTTTAGATGTAAAAGCACAAGAAATTATATTACGTCAAAATCCTGATATAGTCATTGCTACACCTGGTCGTTTGATTGATCATATTAAGAATACGCCAAGTTTTAGTTTGGATTCAATTGAGGTAATAACATTACAGAATTTATTTTTCTAAAATATTAAAAACTACACGTGAAGATAAACCTTGCGCTCTGAAGCTATCAAACTTACTCATTTTTTGAACCTGGTTTGTTTAGCAATGTGAGGATGCTTAGCGCTGTTATTCCTCGTAGGAGGAATAACCTGATATATACTGCATACTTTTTTCTATACATATTATTTTAAGCATTATTAATAAAACTTATATTATTAGGTGCTTATACTTGATGAAGCTGATCGTATGTTGGATGAATATTTTGCTGAACAAATGAAAGAAATTATAAATTCTTGTTCTAAGACACGTCAAACAATGCTTTTCTCTGCCACAATGAGTGAACAGGTTAAAGATCTTGCAGCTGTGTCTCTCGTTAAACCAGTTAAGGTTTTCGTAAACAATAACCAGCAAGTTGCATTCAACTTGCGCCAGGAATTTATACGCATTAGAGAAGATAAAGAAGGTGATCGCGAACCAATATTGGCAAGTTTAATATGTCGTACCTTTCACGATCACTGCATGATCTTTGTGCAAACAAAGAAACAAGCACATCGGTTGCATATATTACTCGGCCTACTGGGAATACGTGCTGGTGAACTACATGGTAATCTGACACAACAACAGCGTTTGGAATCACTAAAAAAGTTTAAAGATGAGCAAATAGATGTGCTGATTGCTACGGATGTCGCTGCGCGTGGTTTAGATATTGTGGGTGTAAAAACAGTTATTAACTTTGTAATGCCTATAACCACCGAACATTATATACATCGTGTGGGTCGTACAGCACGTGCTGGACGTGCTGGTATATCGGTGTCGTTAGCTGGTGAAAAGGAACGTAAAATTGTAAAGGATATTATTAAAAATGCAGAAAATTCTGTTAAGAATAGAATAATTCCACCAGAAATAATTGAGAAGTATCGCAGAAAACTTACAGAACTAGAGCCAGAGATACGTAAGCCACCATAAATTCCTAAAATATTTAGTTATTACAATTCATTATTGTAAATTTATTTTTTATTTAGAGAATATACTTGATGAAGAGCAAGCTGAACGTCAAATTGCAAAAATGGAGCAGCAACTTTCAAAAACAGAACGAAAGTTAATGGGCGATAAACCAGAATTCCGTCAGTGGTTCCAAACCAGAAAGCAAAGGGAAGAAGAAAAGGCACGTTTAGCGCTTGAAGAGCAATCGGCGAAAAAGATAACTGAAAAAGGTACTAAAGGTGGAAAAAGAAAACGTGCAGAATATGGTGGAGATGGTGAAGATGGTCCACCAGTGAAAGAACTCAATGCAAAAAAGAAAAAGAAAGAGGAGCCTAGAAAAAAAACACCCGAACAGTTGGCAAAAGAAAGAGCTATGAGAGAAATTGAAAAAGTTTCATTGGTTCGTGCCAAATTAGCGAAAATACGTACACGGCCCGGAAAATTGAGTTCAGTTGTCGAAACTCCCACATTCTCACAAAAGTCTAGAAATAAAAATAAAGCACGTGGTGGTCAGTCAGCATTCACAAATGATTTAACAGACGTGAGTCGTAGTGGTGCACTACGTTTAAGGTAGGCAATGTTAAATATATTGTATAAAGATATATGTATAATTATATATTATACTTGTTATAATATATAAAGTTGACAACATTTAAGCTATAACTTAGATTTAAGCAGAAGAAAAAAATATTCGTAAAGAATTGAATTGCAAAGTAACTAACTATAATATATATAAATATATATTCTATATTTTTTTAAGGTCTGAGGCAAATCGTCATAAGAAGATGTCGAAGGTTAAATCGAAAAAGAAGACCAGTTCAGTAAAATTAACAAATAAAGCAGGAGGAAATAAGTTCAATAAAGGCAAAAACTTTGGTGGTCCCCGTTTTACCAAAAAAAAATAAAAACAATAAAATAGTTAACTTTTTGCGAATTTGTAAAGAAAAGAGTCGTATTTTGGTTAAATATTTGAATAATTAAATATTTTTATATGTTAAGTTTATATATGTTTATATTTATAAATATAAGCATTTACTTATAAAGCATATGTTTTTAATAAAAATATATAAACAAATTGTGTGTTTAATAAAAAGCTTAAACTATAAAAATCCATAGATTGTTCAATCCACAAATTTCCCGATGTAAATCGATCAGGTACAAATTGGACAAAAAATGTAAAAGTCAGCTACTTTAACCAAAGCGAAGTCTACTCAGCACTACGACATCGTTCCTGATAAATCACTACCTACTTACAAGACCTGCTATGGGAATGAATCTACCGTGTTAAGACATTTGCCGTGATTGTGAATTTTAAAAATAAGAGGAGTCCGTGTTTTACATACATTGTCAGAGTCTAATTATGTCGAACGAATAGATTAAAAATCTTTGGGGCATCCTTCGCCAGTTTTCTTGCAAATCTATGGGTTTGGCCAAGTTTGTAGAGAATTAGTGCTTTAAATATAATTCAAGCTTCGAATTATAAACCTTCAAGTATTTTACTCGACCATATCGAATCGTTCGAATATGTTCTAATTTCATATGGTGCTCCATTTGCTGTGATGCATATTTGTAATAAACAGTGGCGTAACTACAGGGAAGCGACTAGAAGCAACGCTTTCGGGCCCCCGAATTTAGGGGGGCCCATTATAAATTAAGGTATTCATTGTATTTATTTTTAATAAATTCGCAAAAGTGGGACGAAACGTTTTTTGTTGGAATAACTCCATATTGCACCGACTCCATATTGCATTTTATAAAAGATACTTAAATTTTAAATTTAAAGTACATAATATATATGTACTTCAAATAAAATGTTAAACCTATTTATAAAATAAAAAAGTTTTTCTAAGAAAAATATGTGTCTGAATCGAGAGTTTATATGGAAGCTATATCCAGATTTAAACCCATTTGAATATAATTTTGTACGTTGTCTTATGCAAATATCAGTACAGTATATACTAAATTTCATTCGAATACCTTTATTAAAAACGGAGAAACTTCATGTCCGATTGTTAAGTTTATGTGGCAGCCATAAGAAATAGTAGTCCAATTTCAATTAAATCAAATGGTGAACAGAGTTCGCTTCCGAAAAGTATGTGTGTAAAGTTTCATTCGAAGAGTTCAAAAGCTGAGAAAGTAGTTTGAACTGAAAAAGTACGTATATACTATACTGATATTTACTTTATGGTATTTCCGACGTTTCTTTTAATGCGTAACGAATATCTTGTCAAACCTTACGCTTTTTACTCTTTTTCGTGTAAAGGGTATAAAAAGATGTTAGTAGGGGCCCCTTAGTTAGAATTTGCTTATAGGCCTAAAAAATGTAGTTACGCCACTGGTAATAAACAAAATATATATCATTGAGCATTAATATCATTAATATGATATGATGTATTTAATAATACTTTATACTTTTTGAATTATTTTATTTAATATAATAGCTCGAGTATTTTCGAATATTTAAAGTCTTCGATGCAAATATTCGAATTCGAATATACTCGAGCTTAAGCAGTAAGATGGTCATTGCTTCGAAGCACTAATATAAAACTTTATATTCAAATTATTATTTTTAATAAATAAACTAATTTTGTTTCTAAACCTTCCTAATAATATTTTAATGGACATACATACATATGTATGTAGATATACAGAGAAAATATATCATTAAAAAATTCAAGAAAATTTTGATAATAAAAAAATATGTGTGGAAAAGATGTGTTATATATTTAATGTATACTGTTAAAAATTTGCTAAACATTTAATTAGAATTTCAAAATAAAAAGTATATAAAAACAATTTTATATAGAAATGTAACGCTATCCAAAAATTTCAATCAACCCATTGGTTATTATTCAAGTTATGCGGCTATAAACATACAGAAGCTAAACTTTTATTTTTTAATTATACAAAATTATGTCAGAAATGATTTTTTTTAAATTCTTTAAATTACTAAATACTATTTATCTATCTACTAAGTACCGATTTTAGTGAGAACATTTCTAGTACCAAGTCTTATTGTAATATAAAGCATAAGGCAATGTCATTTTTGTCAATTATGGTTAATTTTTTATTGCTTAAAATTTATTTAATAAATATTTTATTTAAAAATTAATAAATATACCATAAATGTATTTATATTTTATTTATGAATATATTTATTGTAAATAATGACATAAAAAAAGTCCATGTTCATTGCACAATTTACAACCCCTGATTGTAAAAGAGCTAATATAAGGAACACAACCTGAACAGCTGATTTATTATTACAGCGGCTAACTAAAATATGTAGCGTCGCTCTCTCAAATATTGTAAACACAAAATTATCTATCAGTTGCAATTGTTTGAATCAAGTGTATTTGAATAACAATATTAATTATATTATTTATTAAAATGTTGCAAACGCAACATTGCATCTATTTCGGTAGAGTTTTAATGAACCAAAATGGTGAACTTTTTATATTATGTACAAATTGTCATAAAGACTTCGATAGCATCAATAAATTTCGTGTGCATTTGGAAGAATGTTCAGGACTTGAACGTTTTTTTCAAACAAATTTAAAATTAATCTATAATAGTAAGAAGAGTGAACATTTGTTTCAAAAAACAGATAATGGTGTAAATGAGGTAACTTATGAAATTCTAAAGTAGATGCATTTCTAAGAAAAATTTCTGTTCTAGCTATTTATATACAACTACCAAGACGTACAAAAACTGAACAATGAAACAACGTACGCAGTAACAAGCAATGGCAATTGTGACAATTTAATGGCGCTTATTGATATCGATGAGGAATTACATGATTCACGCTGGTATAGTGAGCTACCCACATCAACGCAGAATAATAATCAATGCACAAGAGACCCAAAAAAATACAGTGAACTTGTACAAGAAGTAACACCTTTTGTGCAATTTAAAGAAAATGTTAAAAATAACACATCGACGTGTATTGCAACAAAGAATAAAAAATTACCAACTCTACCACAAAAAAATCCATCTGGTAAACAAATGCAGGTTGCTAAGTCAAATTTGGTGGAATCGAAAATAACACCAGTGGACAAGCGTGCAAAGAGACGTTTAGTTTTGGATAAACCACCTATGGTAGTACCAGAAAAGCCAAAACCATCACCGTTTTTAGAAGTGTTACAAGTGGCGCCAGATGTTAAGGTTTGTCCAAAAGAAGGTGCAGGCACAGTAAAATCAAATGCAACCACAAGTGCACCTATTGTAAAAACTGTAACATCCACAAATAATGCTAAATCCAATTTTAATAAATCAGGAACACAAGCTATTAACCAACGTTATCGTATTTCAGTACCAGCTAACGCTAAAAATTCGAATAAGATATTACCAACAGCAAAGGAAAAAACAGAAACTGTTAGTAGCACATTGTCATATCAGTTATCACCAATTCCAAAGCGTCGTAAAATTGAAAATACTTCAGCAGGTGTGAAATGTAAAACTATTGAAGAGTTCAAAGTAGGAACGAATACAGTCAGTAAACTTGAAACGTATCAAGTGGGTACTTTTCAAGAAGAATCCAATTTGAACAAAAAGCAAACCCAAAATAAATCCATTCAATTGAGCACACCAACTTCAAATAAGAATCTCATTAAAACTAACACAGTCACAAGTGCCACAAGTGGAAACCAAGGAAAGCAAAAAGAAACTGAACAAATTTTAAATAAATTACAAACCTTAGGCTTAAAAGTTAAACGCACCACTAAAATAGATACCAAAAACTCAACCAAACCCGAAGGAAAAGCATCCGCTCAAACATTAGAAATAATTAATAAACTTAAGTCGAACGGAATGAATATTAAACTTGTGTCTTCAAACACAAGTTCCATGCCAGTGTTAGCAACAGTAACGCCAAAGCCTTCGACGCTTTTAAGTAATAACTCAAACGTTCCAGCAGCGCATGGCATACTGTTAAAGAAAACTATACTTAAGAAAGTTTGAAATAGTTTAATTTGTCTCCCTATTGCTTAGTAGATGCTATTAAGTATCATTTATAATTATAAGTATAAGTAGTAGTTTTTAAGTAAGCAGTTTTTTATTGTGTTTTATAATCTTTGAAAATAATGTTTAATATTTTTAGCATTCTTAAACACATTTCTAAGAAAACAATATATTTATTTAATTAATTTCTTTGTTGGAAATTATGCTATGTAAATGTTAACAATCTAGTCTTAATGTGTACGTAGTAAGAGCTCATTATATATTATATAAATATATGTACATATTATATAAAAGTAGTATATATGTTATATAAAAATGACTATATATATTTATAAACTTTTATACTACTTAAAAAGTTATATATTTTATAACACAAAACAAATATAAATAAATAGATTTTATATTTGTAAATTTATATTTTCAATAAGTTATATATCAATTAATAAGTTAAAGAGATTATATAGTAATTGATATGTTTATGTTTTTATAATAGTTTATGTATTAAATTATATATGTAATAGATATTATTTAATGTGTTTAAAAGATTATATTTTAATTTATTTGTTTAAGATAATATAATATTAATTTATATATTTAAAGAGATTATAATTTAATTTATGTAACACTACGTTAAGTTATATGATTATTTATATTATTAAAATATTATATTTTAATTAGTTTAGTAGATTTTATATTAATTTATATTATTTATACATTAAATTTAAATTTACCAAATATTTTGCAAGCAAAATAAAACTTTAAAAACAATGTATAAAAAATAAATAAGAAAGCAATTAAAATAGTTAGAGACTAATTCGAAACCCTTAATGTAAGGTAATATAAATTTATTATTTGTTTAAAAATATTTGTACATATGTTTATTGCATAAACGTACTTATTGAATCCAGTTGTATATATTTTGTAATTTTGTTTTTATAATCATATTTTACTATTTTTTACAAATTTATTATTTTACTAAACATATAAATATATTAGTTTTGTTATTATAATGT